GTAGTGTAGATTCTTGGTGGTGTTGTGTACATTGTGGGTGGTGTAGTGTAGATTGTGGATAGTGTAGTGTAGATTGTGGGTGGTGTAGTGATGATTGTGGGTGGTGTAGTGTAGATTTTCGGTGGTGTAGTGTAGAATGTGGGTGGTGTAGAGTTGATTGTGGGTGGTGTAGTGTAGATTGTGGGTTGTGTAGTGATGACTGTGGGTGGTGTAATGTAGATTGTGGGTGGTGTAGTGATGATTGTGGCTGGTGGAATGTAGATAGTGGATAGTGTAGTTTAGATTGTGGGTTGTGTAGTGTAGATTGTGGTTGGTGTAGTGTAGATTGTTGGTGGTGTAGTGATGATTGTGGGTGGTGTAGTGTAGATTCTTGGTGGTGTTGTGTACATTGTGGGTGGTGTAGTGTAGATTGTGGATAGTGTAGTGTAGATTGTGGGTGGTGTAGTGATGATTGTTGGTGGTGTAGTGTAGATTATCGGTGGTGTAGTGTAAATTGTGGTTGATTTGGTGTAGATTGTGGGTGGTGTAGTGTAGATTGTGGGTGGTGTAGTGTAGATTTATGGGTTGTGTAGTGTAGATTGTGGGTGGGGTAGTGTAGAATATTGGTGGTGTAGAGTGGATTGTGGGTGGTGTAGTGTAGATTGTGGGTTGTGTAGTGTAGATTGTTGGTGGTGTAGTGTAGAATGTGGGTGGTGTAGAGTGGATTGTGGGTGGTGTAGTGTAGTTTGTGGGTGGTGTAGTGTAGAATATGGGGGTGTAGTGATGATTGTGGGTGGTGAAGTGTTGATTGTGGGTGATGTAGTGTAGATTGTGGGTGGTGTAGTGATCATTGTGGGTGTTGTAGTGTAGATTGTGGGTGGTGTTGTGATGATTGTGGGTGGTGTAGTGATGATTGTGAGTGGTGTAGTGTAGATTGTGGGTGGTGTAGTGTAGATTGTGGGTGGTGTAGTGATGGTTGTGGGGGGTGTAGTGTAGATTGTGGATAGTGTAGTTTAGATTGTGGGTTGTGTAGTGTAGATTGTGGTTGGTGTAGTGTAGATTGAGGGTGGTGTAGTGATGATTGTGGGTGGTGTAGTGTAGATTCTTGGTGGTGTTGTGTACATTGAGGGTGGTGTAGTGTAGATTGTTGGTGGTGTAGTTATGATTGTGGGTGGTGTAGTGTAGATTTTCGGTGGTGTCGTGTAAATTGTGCTTGATTTGGTGTAGATTGTGGGTGGTGTAGTGTAGATTTATTGGTTGTGTAGTGTAGATTGTGGGTGGTGTTGTGTAGAATGTGGGTGGTGTAGTGTGGATTGTGGGTGGTGTAGTGTAGATTGTGGGTTGTGTAGTGTAGATTGTTGGTGGTGTAGTGTAGAATGTGGGTGGTGTAGAGTGGATTGTGGGTGGTGTAGTGTAGATTTATTGGTTGTGTAGTGTAGATTGTGGGTGGTGTAGTGTAGAATGTGGGTGGTGTAGTGTGGATTGTGGGTGGTGTAGTGTAGATTGTGGGTTGTGTAGTGTAGATTGTTGGTGGTGTAGTGTAGAATGTGGGTGGTGTAGAGTGGATTGTGGGTGGTGTAGTGTAGTTTGTGGGTGGGGTAGTGTGGATTGTGGGTGGGGTAGTGTAGAATATGGGGGTGTTGTGGTGATTGTGGGTGGTGTAGTGTAGATTGTGGGTGGTGTCGTGTAAATTGTGGGTGATGTAGTGTAGATTGTGGGTGGTGTAGTGATGATTGTGGGTGGTGTAGTGTAGATTGTTTGTGGTGTAGTGATGATTGTGGGTGGTGTAGTGATGATTGTGGGTGGTGTAGTGTAGATTGTGGGTGGTGTAGTGTAGATTGTTGGTGGTGTAGTGATGATTGTGGCTAGTGTAGTGTAGATTGTGGGTGGTGTAGTGACGATTGTGGGTGGTGTAGTGTAGATTGTGGGTGGTGGAATGTAGATTGTGGATAGTGTAGTTTAGATTGTGGGTTGTGTAGTGTAGATTGTGGTTGGTGTAGTGTAGATTGTGGGTGGTGAAGTGATGATTGTGGGTGGTGTAGTGTAGATTCTTGGTGGTGTTGTGTACATTGTGGGTGGTGTAGTGTAGATTGTGGGTGGTGTAGTGTAGATTTATAGGTTGTGTAGTGTAGATTGTGGGTGGTGTAGTGTAGTTTGCGGGTGGTGTAGTGTGGATTGTTGGTGGTGTAGTGTAGAATGTGGGTGGTGTAGTGTGGATTGTGGGTGGTGTAGTGTAGATTTATGGGTTGTGTAGTGTAGATTGTGGGTGGTGTAGTGTAGTTTGTGGGTGGTGTAGTGTGGATTGTTGGTGGTGTAGTGTAGAATGTGGGTGGTGTAGTGTAGATTGTGGGTGGTGTAGTGTAGATTTATGGGTTGTGTAGTGTAGATTGTTGGTGGTGTAGTGTAGTTTGTGGGTTGTGTAGTGTAGATTGTGGGTGGTGTAGTGTAGTTTGTGGGTGGTGTAGTGTGGATTGTTCGTGGTGTAGTGTAGAATGTGGGTGGTGTAGAGTGGATTGTGGGTGGTGTAGTGTAGTTTTTGGGTGGTGTAGTGTGGATTGTTGGTGGTGTAATGTAGAATATGGGGGTGTAGTGATGATTGTGGGTGGTGTAGTGTAGATTGTGGGTGGTGTCGTGTAAATTGTGGGTGGTGTAGTGATGATTGTGGGTGGTGTAGTGTAGATTGTGGGTGGTGTAGTGATGATTGTGGGTGGTGTAGTGTAGATTGTGGGTGGTGTAGTGTAGATTGTGGGTGGTGTAGTGTAGATTGTGGGTGGTGTAGTGTAGATTGTTGGTGATGTAGTGATGAGTGTGGCTAGTGTAGTGTATATTGCGGATGGTGTAGTGTATATTGCGGGTGGTGTAGTGTAGATTGTTGGTAGTGTAGTTTAGATTGTGGGTGGTGTAGTGTAGATTGTGGTTGGTGAAGTGATGATTGTGGGTGGTGTAGTGTAGATTGTGGGTGGTGTAGTGATGATTGTGGGTGGTGTAGTGATGATTGTGGGTGGTGTAGTGTAGATTGTGGGTGGTGTAGTGTAGATTGTGGGTGGTGTAGTGTAGATTGTGGGTGGTGTAGTGTAGATTATGGGTGGTGAAGTGTAGATTGTGGGTGGTGTAGTGATGATTGTGGGTGGTGTAGTGTAGATTGTGGGTGGTGTAGTGTAGATTGTAGGTGGTGAAGTGTAGATTGTGGGTGGTGTATTGTAGATTGTGGGTATTGACGTGTAGATTGTGGTGGTGTAGTTTAGATTGTGGGAGGTGTGGTGTAGATTGTGGGTGGTGTAGTGATGATTGTTGGTGGTGTTGTTTAGATTGTGGGTGGTGTGGTGTAGATTGTAGGTAGTGTAGTGTGGATTGTAGATGGTGTAGTGTAGATTGTTGGTGGTGTAGTGTAGATTGTGGGTGGTGTACTGATGATTGTTGGTGGTGTAGTTTAGATTGTGGGTGGTGTGGTGTAGATTGTAGGTAGTGTAGTGTGGATTGTAGATGGTGTAGTGTAGATTGTGGGTGCTGTAGTGTAGGTGTAGTGCAGTTTCTGGGTGGTATAGTTTCGATTGTGGGTGGTGTAGTGCAGATTGTAGCTGGTGTAGTGTAGATTGAGGGTGGTGTAGTGTAGATTGTTGGTGGTGTAGTGTAAAATGTGGTTGGTGTAGTGTAGATGGGGGGTTGTGTAGTGTAGATTGTTGGTGGTATAGTGTAGATTGCGAGTGGTGTAATTTTTAACATGTGAAGCTATTTATTTGACATTTCTTTTCTTATTGCATTATGTGTAAGTATGGGACATTAATTGTATTAAGATGACTACAATGTGTAGAATTGTGTCTATCTATGGCGACAAGATGGACACAATTTTATGGATAACAACTTCTTTCATACTGTGAAAAGCGACGTTTCGGTATAGGGATCTATACCGAAACGTCGCTTTTCACAGTATGAAAGGAGAAAAGGAGGGTCCCTGGGCACGTTGCCGGTTTTGGATCTATACCGAAACGTCGCTTTTCACAGTATGAAAGAAGTTGTTATCCATAAATTGTGACTATCTTGTCATCCGTCAACTTCGAAGTAATGCCTATCGAACAATGTATCTATGGCGAGACGTGTGTTTGACAATAAGCGTAGTATGCAGAAATAGTCCTCAAACAAAATCAAGTGTAAACAAAACTGGCAACGTGCCGAGGGACCCTCCTTTTTTCCAATTATATATAAGGTGCATAAGGTTTTGTTTAGTAGCCAATAGAGAGTTCCTGTGTATTTGCTCCATTGTATTATCTTATATGATTGTGAAACGTATCCGTTGTATTACAGTATAATTTGTTGATTGTTCATTGATCTTGGGTGGCTATTCACTGATTTCTCAATATAGATCTGAACTTCTGGGTTAGTCTTAGCATTACAGTTTGGGAACCAACACGTAACACTATCATAATGGAGTAATTAGGAGCATTAAATACACAACGTCAACGTCGGGGAATCACAACACGTCCTCTCGTGGTTGTCTTCTCCAGCTGACTGGAAGGGTTCTGTAAAGCGGGGGTTGCAGACCAGAGTAGATGACTTGTAAGTTCACATAGTTCATTGGAGATTCAAACGTTGTCACTGTGTGGTTGCTCTCGTTCACGCTCACACTACCACAAGGCACCTTTCCGAGATGCCTCCAGTTACAACTGACTACTGACTTTGCACCAGACATGGCCTTCTGTGAAGGTCTGTGTTCCTGACAGAATGAACCATCTTCTAGTTTATCTAGTATGTTCCTGTTCATTTGTGGCTAACAAATGCTTGTTCATGGCACTTAGTAAGTCTTCTGATACTGTAGGAAAAACGACTTCCATTCTTGTGTTTACAGAGTTATAAATGTACAAACCGCTGTGCAGACTTTGCAGACATCCATTATGCTGATTTACACAGTGTGCACAGCTTTGTACCTATATACCTTCATAAACGCAAACAAATACTGTATTGAAGTCTATTCTTAAATGAAATACGATATGTAAATATGTCTCAAAATATCAATGAAGACCGTGTTGACGTGTGGATTTCAAATTCCTTTATTATTTCAATGAGAAGTTTAAGTACAGATACAAGTGCGTTTATCAAGCTATCAGTTAACTGGAGAGGACAGGGTTATACAGGTACAGTTATACACATATAAATAGAACGACAAACAGACTAACACATGGTGCAAAAAGATGAAAGCTTCAAACAACAAGGGTGTGACAGGGAAGTATGATTTCCAGGAGATACTCCATTGGTAATACTGGCTGGTATCTGTGCCGAAGAAAAGGTAAAACATCAAAGGTTGCTATAAATCAAGCGATTTCCTTTGAGCGTCAAACATCTTATGAAACTTTACCCTTTCCCGCTTCGCCTATGATATCGCAGGGTGAAGGGTGGCAGTAATTAATGGTTTAGACACATTTAAGGGGATCCTGCCCTGTGATGCTAATTGATCAGCTATCCGTGTGATGATTTTTCAACTTCGTATACCACTGTCCCACATGACAAACTTAAGGAAAAACATTATTCCTTGATCTTTTGGGGTTTTTTTTGTACAAAACATGGATACCACAGATAAACTTAGGCATCTATCTTCAGAGGTTCAGGACAAATTGTCAAAAAAGAAATATAAGATAATAATAAATAATAATATAAGAAAATGGTAGAATGTGTTTGATCAACGTTACAGTTTTTAAGGCCTAAAAAAAGCTTTCAAAAAGTGGTTAGGTAGACATGCGGAGACATTTCCAAATTTGAAGCATCAGTGACAAAAATGATGTCCGATGCAATTCACTATTTTGACTGTGTACCTTTTCAGGATAGCAATCGACTGCGTGTGTTGGTGAGGATGCCACCGGTAGGACAGGATACGCTCATCTTTTCGCGAACATAATGTTGTTCTTGTATCGCATTACAAAAATTGGTCGGCAATATTCAGACATGGGCTTTACACATTGTACCAATGTGGGGATTCGAATCCGGATCGCCGTTTTAACCCGTTCAAATACCCAATCACACCTGTCATTGTCCACTTCCCACGTTCTTGAAAAAAAAAGTTAACAAAATGCAACATGTTACAGCAATATTACAAATATACAATTGGGGAACATATTACATTTCAATAAGATGAGATACAATTACGAATACCCTACAGTTATTGATACAAAAAGTTCATTGACTGTATTTCTCTGCTGGGCCTAATGTTATTATTGAAGGCGTGTCATTCTACATTAAACATATTTCATTTAACCTACTACCTTTCAACGGTACATTAATTGGCCAATGTATGCAATTACAAAGTCTATGCATATATATGTGCTCTGTCTATATTATGCTGATTTGAAGGTAACACTAGTACTCACAGTACATGGTATTCGAAAACTGAAGTAATAACTATGTCTTGTTCTTTTTGTGCTTTTCCTTAATCTTAGCAGATTGTTTACTCGAAGACTTATAACAACCAGTTTCGCTGGTAAAATACTTTTACAAGTTAATACAAACCAATCGTTTCTTTTCATCAAAACGGGAGGAGATATAATATGAAGTTGTTGTATTGCTGGATTTACACGAGTTACAATTGAGGTGTTTATCATCGATCAGTTAAGATGACGGACAAATTTTCATGGTATAAATTTCAACGGTTATAATGTCATTACCTCGGATATATATTTATTGCAGAATAAATGTTCAATACTTTATAGTTGCTATATGTCTATATGGTAACTAGTATATTGATATACGTGCTCACAGCTGCTAAGCGCATATTTTATATAATTCAAGATCACACACAACTATTCGATCCCATTCGTGTTTTAGCAGTGGATTTCTTGTACCGGCTAGGCGATTTTGCAGTCATAATGTGCATAAAACTATCTGTTCGATTTATTATAGTTACTTGGAACCTCAGTAACAAGTCGAAGTAAAATATGAGCTTCGGAAAAAGTTGAATTTACGAAGCGAGATGTGAGTCCAATATTATACGAACCATAAAAGAACACATATTATTATCATGAAGTCTATTCAAGTGTGCTTTCAAAGGCACAATGAACCTGGTCATTTTCCTCATGTGAGGTGGGGTCAGTGTCTCAAGCAAGTCATCTGTCTAGTACCATTCCATGACTACGTTAACATACCATCAGTATAGAATAATATAGAGTGAATATGTAGAGTGAATTGTTACACACTAAATAGCACTTGGACCTGAGAAGGCAATCGGCTATCTCGTCACGCGTGAGCTGCAAGCGAACGGCATTCCCACTTCATTGGTTGGAGGCTTCAGGTTCACCGTTATATTCTTCTGGGATCTGGTAAAACAATGGATTTGGGAGAAATGGTAACATAATTAAGAAACGTGAAATTTGGTACGAATATGATAGTGTAACAGAAACCATGCATAGAACATATTGATTCTTAATATGTAAACGATGAATAACTTAAAATGTTCAGCCCAAATCACCTCCGAATCTGGCCATCTCTGTTTGAAACTTCTAGCAATATCTTTTTCAAACTCTTTCTCTTTGGAATAGATAGCAACAGCACGTTCTTGAAATACTGCAGGAAGCATCTGTGATTTCTAAAAAAATAATAATATAAATATTTCATCAACAATATCAACGGATTACTTGATAATTTGTTAAAAACAACTTTCTTGACCAATTGAATTGATTGGATATTGTCCGAAATGTGTTACGTGTTGATTCCCAATGAAGGTCTCGCTCAGCCAACTTTCCAGGAAATAATGCCATGAAAAGTTTCGAATAATATCGTCCTTCCACAACTATACCCGTTCAGATTCAGCTTGGAATTGGTCTTGTTGTAAAAGGCCCCAAATGTGATTGAGTGGTCAGGCTCACATACTTTGTTGATGTACATGCATGATATTTCCCAATTGCGTAGATTGATGCACATGGTGACAATCACTGAATTGTGTGGTCCAGACGCGATTTATTCACAGGCCGCCACCATATTGCTGTGTGCGGCGTTAAAAAAAATAAAAATACACACAACAAATTGCAATAACTGTGAACAAGTCAGTAGAACAAGCTTCTCGCACTATGGAAGAACACTCTTCGGAACGAGCTGCCGTGGACCTCAAAAAGATAACAAACTATCCACAACATTATAGCTTAAAATTTGAATCTAAAACTGCACACACTGAAAGTATTTCATTCCGACCTTACCTGTGCTACAGTAAAGGAAATGACAATGTGAGATCAAAATATTCAAAGACAAGAATAGCAAAGAGTAGCATACCTGTTTTGTCGATAGGAAAGCCTTTCCAGGGTTTGATTTTTTATAAAACCTAACGTTGGTTATTGGGTCCTCTTTTTTCTGTCCATAATCGAAATACATCAGCTACAAAATAAACCAACATGTAACCAACCATCTTGGCGTTCCAAAATCGGGAATAGGAGAGCGTGAGATGGCGTTAAGTGTGTATTTGGTGAGTTCAATTTACCCATTGTCCCTCAATTAATGTAGTTATTACAGGTGATAATTAACACAAACGAACAAAGAATAGGCATGTGCCTGAAATCAAAACGACTGAATTCAAAGATTTTTCTTCCAGTGGATTCCAACTAATACATATAAATATATATGTTTTAGAAATTGTGGCCAACCACACATTTTGAAACAAACATGACAGCTATTCTTAGATTATCGCACCAACACTATGTCATCAAAACGATGTAGGACAACCCCCAGGCACCCAGATGACCTAAAGCACAAAACGCCACTGGAAGATGATGATGATGATGATGATGGTGATGATGATGGCGAATAGCCTAATGATACTGCGTGAAGACTTCGCATGATGTATCCCAAGAATATGTGAAATGTCCATGGCTTATATCAGTTAAAGCTGCAGGGGAAGTAGGACCAATATAGATAATACCACGATTCGAGAGACTTGATTCACCCCATTGGTAAATACCCATTGGTAAATAAGCAGCATATCTAAATTGACCCCAATTGTCGTCATTCTATCTCGGCAAGTACCAAGTTGTACCTACAGCTAGTTCAAACTGATTTTCATTGAAGGACCTTCCAGGTTTCTCCAGAATTTCTCTTTTATACCGTTGAATGTCCTCCTGAAAGTAAAATGTTGAACTGTAATGGTTACTCTTCCCAGACCCAAATTTCTAAAAAAATACATGCCAAAAGTATATTAATAACCGTGGAACTACGAAATGTACCTACTACTTTGCTTTCAAGGGGGGCGTACTATATAAACGTTCACTTAATTTACGTCACAGAAAACAAATGTGAAAATCTTAGTATTTACGTCACGCATGTGTGAACCAATGATAGCAGTCTAAATATGAAACTATCATCATACTTGTGTAAAAGTGTCGCCATCCTGTAAAATGCGTGTGCCAACACATTTATACAATTGTCTTGCCCGGACTCTTCTGATGATGTTTCTTGCTTCTTTCAGATCTTCCATGGCGCCTGTAATTGATCCATAGAAAGTAGCTTTGGTGCACAAACAAGAGACAAAAGGGAAAATAAGATCCATGTGCTATGTTACACAAACAGTTTTGTCCTACGGTAAACGCATGTACGGATTTAAAGCGAAGAGTAGAAACAGAAAATCGTTCAGAATATATATTGTTCACATATTCGGTGTGGCCAAAGTGATCCCCAGGGTGTCAGCAACATGCTCAATTACAAAACGTTTTGGACATACAACCGTGCCGTGAACAGCCTCCACTTTAATTTCAGACGTGGTATCTGTCGGAAGACAAAGCGTCTGTACTGCTTTCTTGCGTATACTTAACATCCCATTTCTGAATAAATGAACACAGCTGAAGGGCAGCCATCCCCATGTCTTCTCTGTTTCTCATTTGGTGACAGGCCCTTTTTGTGTCATTTTGTGAAAATGTAAAAACTGCTGAAACATATAACTACGGTAAGAGATCAACCGAGTATTTTGTGAGTGCTTGTGGTGTGAAACAAGGGTGTACCTTAAGCCCCGTGGTATTTTCTCTTTTTATTAATGAACTTGTAGTATATTTAGATGGTAAGTTTGATGATGGTATATTTATATTTAAACACGTTTAATATAATTGCACTTCTATTTGCTTATGATTTGGTTCTTGCTGCTGATAGTGTTATTAAAATCCAGTGGCGTCTTAATGCTTTATATTTTTACTACAAAAAATGGGAAATGGAAATTAATACAGTCAAGAGTAAAATTATTGTCTTTAAAATGGGTGGCCATTTATCAATATATGAAAATGGTATTTTGATGGTAAACAAATGGATACTGTAAGTATGTATAAATATTTAGGCTTAATTATAACGCCAAAACTCATTTGGTTCAGAACACTTTCTGAACAGGCTTCCAAAGCACTATGGCCAGTAATATCCCTGATCAGGAGACTTGAATTTACTGCTAAAGATTCGTGTTACCTAGTCGATAAGACAAATTTACCCGTTCTCTTATATGGTTGCGAAATCTGTGGCTACCAAAGAAAGGAAAGCATAGAAATTGCCCACCGAAAGTTTTGTAAATATTTGTTACACATTGGATATAGATCATCTAACGCAGCTGTCTGTGGTGAATGGTGCACTACCTATTTTGTAAGATGTGTTAAATATTGGTTAAGATTGCTTCATATGAATTTAATAAATATCCATATCATTGTTATCTCTTTTTATTAGCTACTGTTGATAGGAAACGCCCCAACTGGGCCACATATGTAAGAAATATATTATTTTCATACAGCTTTGGTATCGCTTGGATTTCACAGGATGTTGGTGATTCAAAGCTATTTATTATCCACTTTAAAGACAGCGTGTACAACTGTTCTTTGCAAGAATGTCATGTTTAGACTCAAATGTATTAACTTTTACTCATTTTTAGATTGTGAAAAATATTTATCTCTTCAAATGCCCTGGGAGTACAAAGTTTAGAATTGGCTGTAATTCTTTGGGTGTTCAGCATCTACCTAGGGGTGTATCATCATTGACCAATGATAATGTTCTGTGTGAACATTTCAACGCAATTGAAGATGAAATTCATGTTGTATATGTCTGTAAACATTATGAAGATGAGTGTAAACTGTTAGTAGCTAATTTGTCAAATAAGCGGTATTATTCACTTTAAAGCCTATGTACTTCGTCAAAATTGAATGTATTATTTCCAGTTACCAAGTTCTTAACACAATGTCATCTTTTAAGAACGGTTCCGCTCAATAAGTAATTTTGTTAATTTGAGTCTGTATATATTCATGTGGTAACTCAAATTATGATGTAAAAAGTTTTGTACTTTAGGTCACGTGCTCTTTAATGCAAATAAACCTGTCTGTCTGTCTGTAAAGGAAGTTTTCTCAGTTAAATTCACCTCTGTATATACTCTAGCTGACTATCCAAAACAGATACCGTTATCAGTGTGTGCCTCAGCTTTATGTCATCCCAGAGATACTATTATCAATACACGTGTTGAAGCAAAATTACACAAAACAATATAACAACACGAACGTATCACTTTACCCTCGTACACTACATTGTTTATACGTCAATATCAGTATTAAATTAAAGATTACATCTACATCTATCTAAAATTGAGTTGAGTTGAGTGAGTTGTGTTTAACGCCGCTTTTAACAGTATTCCAGTCATATCACGGTGTGTCAGCTTAATGTGGGAGGAAAGCTCCAAGTGATGCAGGTCTTAGACGTTTACCACTTCGGTGAAACCCACGAGCACGGGTAAGGTGCTGACAAACATAGAAACATAATCTAGGCGAACCGGGATTCGAACCCACAATCATAGGTTTCTGGCGTGCCCAAGGGACGCAAATCTGCACAGCGAATTGCGGCGCCTTAGACGACTGGGCCACCCGTGCCCCCCTCTATCTAAAGAATATCTATGATTGGATACTACATTATTATAATGTGTTACATGTGTGTGTGAGAACGGAATGTTTTGATATTCATTCAAACTAGTAAGGACACTTAAATGTATGATATTCACCAGAGTCAGTTTCTTGGTGACTCGTTCCTAGTGTTATAGGGAGCTCCACCAGTTGTAGGATGCTGTCATTCAGCTTTGAGTAGGCCTTCATGTCGTCGATACATTCAGATATGTTTCGACCTTTTGATACTTGATCACTGAAACAAAACATATAAAATACTACATGCGTCTTGTTTCCTGTTTCTTGAATACTGTGACACATTGGTATGGTTGTATATTGAATCATTTATATCAGTAAATTTCAATCCCAAATAGTGCTGTTTGATGTTTCTGTTGGTGGACTGTGGTTTCCAATTTTATACTGTGTTGTAAAACGAACACTTTTCTTGAACGTTTTTCGCTACTTACAAAAATGAGAATCCCTGCACGTGTACACATCAAACTAATGTCGTTTTAACATTTCTGTTTTAGTTTCAGAGGGATGAGTATGCTGTTGTGGTCCTGGATTTTCTGGTCCATTTTCGATCACTTGATTGTGTGGTTTGTTTACAGGCCGCCGTTGCATGGCAGGCACTCTGATGTGCGGCACCAGGGAAACACACATTGACCGGTAGGACAGGATGCGCTTATACGTTTGATGAACACCTGTTTTGCAGTGATCCGTTCATATGACTGTCACCGCTATTTAGTCATTTGCACCAAAAATAATCTGTTTCGGTGGATAATCGAGATTGATTATTTTTTGTTACTTTGTGTGTTGATGAAAATGATTTTCTTTCAATCAAAGTGATAAACACTCGTGCATCGAATTATTAGTGTCGTAATAGAAATAAATCTTAAAGCATTACCGACCCCAAGTTATCTCATTTCAGTTTTTCTTATGATTAAATTCAAATTCAATACAAAACTTCATTTACCGATCCGATCCTGATATCTGCACAGTTTTGTCAACTTTTACAAGCACATCAACAATCCTGAAAATAAACATGTAGCAAATTCAAAAATATGGCTACAATATAAAAAGTACAGTTTCCCTGTCTTGTTTATGAAATACGAGGTATAAGCACAAAGTATAGTTACTCGTGTGCTTCCATAAATGCTCCCAGGTGTCTGGCCATTTCATATATTTTGTCAATACGTGAAGATGTGTTACTGTACTTACATGAGTTCTACGCCAATTTTAACTTTGTGCTGGTAAGCTCTTCGGTGTAATGTCTCCCGGGTACGAAACATATCGTACAGGTTATTTTCCTCCTGCAGTCAAAACAAACAGAACATGAATCTGGTCACACGTTCAGGTCACCCGGTCACCTTGGGCGTCCGGCATGTAATAACTTCTGATGGGAAACTTTGTCCCAAAATTCAGTTATGGTTGTCACAGATGCAATAAGAGATAAATACATTTGTGATATCTTCAAGTGGCATTTTAGAAGCTATAGTGTCACATCACTGAGTATCAAGCACTTTTATGATAAATGTACTGACGTCTTTACTGATGAAGAAAGACAAAGAAAACTGTTTGAATTCATCCTTGTACCGTTGTCAAACAAGACCACTGTTTTTGCTGTCTTGTCACCGAAACTTGGCCTGTACAGTATTAAAGAAGTTGTTAACCATAAATTGTGTCTACTTTATCATAAACGTTGAAGAAAAATCTGACGGACTTTGTCATCCGTCATCTTCTAAGTAATGCCTATCAAACAATTCAACGTTTATGATGCCTTATTACGTCCTGGCGTGCTTGTATCTCTTCCTCCACCACATTCTATCAACATGACCACCTCTTAAATCATGTATGATCCTGACAATAATTACACCCAAATGTGTCTCCACTGTTGTGTTGGTTGTGTTAGGAATCCGCTTGCACCATGATTTGTAAAACGGAAATTTAATATTTGTTTTCTATATGTGGCCGGATATAAAAAAAAAACATTTCTTAAGCGGGAGATGCAGAATACATTTTGCTTTATGCATAGACACAGTGAAGGGATCCCCTTTACTAGAACAAACATTTCCTGGTAATGTCCTTAGCCTGGAACCTACGACATAACATTGCAGATTAATGGATTACCTTGTCGCGTGCACAGATTCGTGGCCCTTCACCCTCCACGTCGATGATACGAGCCAACTCCATGTACCTGTCGTGATCGAAGTTGTTTTTTATGCCCAGCATGTGACAGTCGCGAGCCAAGTAGTCCCATTTGTCTACATCAATTCCCGTTTGGGCGTTGGCAACAATCTGGTGATAAAATGCGTTTGTGGAACACTAATGTATAAATACTGAAATTTGCAACATTGAGCTACCCCTTGCAATTGTAGCATTTCGGAAAATGTCTTTATCTCCTGGTAACTTCATTCTTTAATGTTTATTTAATTATCCTCAAAACAACTCAACTGCTCCAGCAACAAAAGGCTAAAAGTCGTAAACATCAAACGTGATATGAAATACTTACTTCATAAAGGAAACGTTTTTTTCTCTTTTGTTGCACACGTTCATCTTCTACATGCTCCTGTAACACAGCATTGTACATGATGATTACAAAGGATAAACATATATCCTTCCTGTTACATAAATGTGTAAGCAATATTTATTTTAAGGTGAGATGAGATGAAATGAGTAAATTTATCATTGGGTTCAAGGTTATTGCACCTATATAGCGACGTGTGGTTGTGTGTGTTTTTGTGTCTGTGCATGCGCGTCTTTGTGTGTGCTAGTCCACTGAAATACCCTGCCACATTTTTACACAGTATACTGACTCTTAGCCGAGCAGCCAATGGTTTATCCTGTTTATGTCGAGCGCCATGCAGAGTAACAACTCGTAGCTTCTCTAACGTCTTTTGGTATGACGCGGCTGGAGATCGAACCAACAATCTTCCTCTATCTGGACAAACGCTCTAGCCATGAGTTTCGATGAGTATGGTTTGTTTCAGTTCAGCTTTCCATTTTATTGTAACAATATTCCTTTCATTTGTCAGATAGAGAGATAGCTAGATCCATGGATACTAACACAGGATAGCAGAGCAATATTCATCTTCCATGCTTCCACCCTATATCTGTAGGAACATTACTCAACTGTCTCTTTTCCTCCTAAGATGAGATCCTTAATCAATGCGAGTCGAGTCCCATCTTTATCAAACTCCTCAAAGGCCTTCATCACCTGGTCATTTGCTTTAAGTAAGTGTTCCAACATCTCCACTGATGCATCCTCATGCTGAAGTCATTTAAGTGAACGATAGCAACTTCTTGAATATTGCTCATATATATACATGAATACAATTATATATATATATATATATATATATATTTACAGTAAACTACGTTTATAACGAATCGCTCATAATATAAGAAACATTTTTTTGAGTCCCGGCCATTTGTTGCATATATGCTGTATATATGCTTATTATGAACTGCGGTTGTTACGAGCTAAAAATAGTGGTCCCTTTGAGTTCGTTGTAAACGAGGTTTACTGTACATACATTTTGCTCTCTGTGTGTCTCAACACACTGTTACAATAACTGCCATATCTGACACTACAACTGATGAATGACTACTTGAGTATGGAGAACCACGCGTGGGTCGGATCATGTCAGGACGTATATAACAATATACAGTTTACAAGCGATCTGTCAATACATATTCTGAACATTAGATGTAAATATACCTTCCACGTTTTGTCTTTCCTTACACAAGGTATGAACATCTTCTCAAAGACGTGTGAGAACGGGCCGTGTCCTTAAAGAACAAAAACACACGTCTATTGTACTTGTCCTCTCAAAATGTTTTATTCGCTAGAAATGTAATTAACTGTGCATATTGAAATAGCCAATCCAGGATGTATGGTACCATCCCGACAGTATCGGAAATGATTGAGATTGACACGCATTGTGATTTTAAAATAATCCAAGTTTACCAATTACCAAGATCGTGACACAGTCCTGCTATTTCAATGCACTCGATGTCACCTTCCTCAAACTGTTGTGGATGTTTCTGTTTCAGAATCCGAGCAAATTTTCCACCCAGATAGTAAGTTCTGTTTCAACAAACAATCTTAATATCTATACGGTCATTGAGAGTTTGGGAAAAGAAAGAAACATAAAGTTAAGTATATAATGAAGTGTACAGCAAGTAATTCATGTCATGGGAATGTGATGAATGTAGGGGTGCTAGTTTGACATTGTCATTAAGATATACTTACCCGATGCTGTGCTCAAACCTGCTGTGTGATGCGCCCGGGAATACAAAGAAAGTTCCACCGAGTTGCTTCAAATACCTCAACCTCTGAAACTGCGGTGTGTCTACTATCTTCACACACAGACCTGTCACTGTTATAGTCCCATGAATAGGATCGTTGAAAATCTAATAGAAAAGATGGATCAGGTGCTTCTTTGGCGTGAACAACATTCTGTATACAAACAATTTCATGTGTATATAAATATAGCGACAGAACCCTTTCCATAACCAATAGAAATAGCATAAAGTATAGTCGATTATTTGATTCCTATTATTTCACGAGCATGTGTTAAGGAATCACTATCAAATAGTAACATAATGCCTCCACAGGAATTTACACAATGGTTATACATATGCATATGATTCATATATATTAGATGACATGTCGATGACATATTGACGTAATTATGCTTACCTTTGATTCCTTGGAATCAGAATCACTTCTGCAAAAGTTCACAAATATATTATGAGTGAGGAGAAAAACCTACTGGGTTTTTAAATTTGATGAAGTCCAAAGGCTGAGTAGATACCTCTTATTTTAATTTGGAACCGAGCGCTTTAAAATAGAGGAGTCTAAAAGAGAAACTATTGATACGTTCCTAGGGCTGATAGATCGGCAGCCATCTTTTATGTAGGCTATCAATGTATTCATCCGTTTTGTGTGAAAAGACTTAATATATTTTAAAGGGGTTTCCATAGCAAAACGAAAACCTCTTTTTAACCAATCAGAATCAAGCCTTGTTAAATGTTGTGGTAGAATCATAAATATACTTTACTATTGTTACTAAATCATTTAATCCTTGACGTCGGTACGACTTTGACTGAAATCTTTTCAGGTGTCTTCTTATGTTCATTTACAAAAATATTTCACCAAAGCGCAATGTTTTATTATTAGCATAAGACCTTCATATAATTCTTTAAGTGATACTTTATAGCACAATACACATGGACATAAACACATGCATGCAATACTCACAACGGGAAACTTGAGGTTCCTGTAAGTAATGATAACAACATAACCTTGGATAGGCATTTAGAAGTTGGAGGAACAGGAATGCTCTCACTAGATAGAACCAATGGTCTTTCCATTGACACAACAGTTTATGATATTGTGCCATATCAGACTTGAATGCTGTTGATATTTATTGAAATGGCAAATATCTACTTAAGGATAGTTTCATCTTTGTAGCATTCAACATGTATATAAGTCAACTTAAATTACAGACACACACAAACAGATCTATCTTGATGCGGAGGTATTGTTCTCAGAGTGAGAGGGAGTGAATGTTGTTCAGCAGTATTCTATCGACACTAAGGCAACGTATAAACGAACGATTTCGCACAAGATAAAACATCGATCGATAGCCTGAGCAACGACCCATGCCGTAGCAACTGGATGACAGATACCAAGGTAAATCATTGGAACTCTGTGCACATGATCAAACTTTTAGTCGGCTCTTATGACCAGAATGTGGTACAGGGAGATTATTCGTGGTAGCAAAAACCATACCCAATCTGCCTGTGGTTGACATTGTCTGGTATAGAATTGTCGTGAAAAAATCCTTTCCATGATCATAGGAAATAAGGAGACTCCATTGTACGATTCAGACTATCCTAAGCATGTGTTCATGAATCGCCATCAAATAGTGATGATACCAGGTGTTCGTAAAAGGTGGGCGTGTCCTGCACCACCGGTAGCACCGTCACAAAGACATGCAACGAACAAGAGAAACCAATTTTGACAGCTGTACTTAGACCTTGAATGTTGCAATATTAAGAAGGCACATAGATTCAGTCTTATCAGGCGTCAATATTACCGTTGTTTACATTCATACTTTAAACTTTTGGATCAGGTTAAATTTACGACTTACCAGATTGAACAACATTTTTGAGCAGACTTTGCTTTTTTGAGGAATCCTCTGTGTCACCTCCTTCTACAAGGTCTGCCTTCCGTTTATATACTTTCTCAAGTTGATTCGTAGACATGTTTGCAAATATCTGAAATTACATTGTGAACAGTGAACAGAGTACATTGTGTTGGTACCTCTTATTGCTAAACGTCTAGGATATATTGTATTATGTATAGTGAGTAATAAAAGCTGGTTTGTGAACATTGTGGTGGGTATTGTGTTCATAAACAATACGGTTACCCAAAAGAAATCGGTATTCACAGAAATAAATTATGAAATCAGTAAATGACCCACAATGTGATTAATCCATTGATTTATTTAAACACACGGTTTTAGGTTTACAATCAATAGGGCAATACATAGGATCAAATAAGTGCCAGGAGCAACAGATAACACGCCCTAGTCTTAATGTAAACTCACTCACAAATGTTCAGAAGTTATAAACAAAAAAACAGAACTACTTGTGATCAGACATTTTTGGTTCGAGTGTTGTGATTAGTCAATTTCAATCGCCTGGGGGATAACGTCACGCTACAAATGGCTCTCTAGTAACAGCCGTATTTCAAATAGTGGACAATACGGGAACAATAGCTAGAAATAAAAACTACTGGGACAGCCATCCGATGGACAATAGTCTTGTCTCTGTTCAAATTAGAACTATCTCCGGCGTTAGCTCTGGCTAAGGAATGGAAAGTCATGTACACAAAATTTCAAGCAATATGGGGTAAAGACCCACATAATGAACAGTACGTCCAAACAATCCACGAATGACTTGAGTAAAATATCAGCAATGAACAAACATCACAAAACGTGTTGAAGTCGGTTTTCAATTTTATCACATATTTCAAAAATTGTATCACTTCCTTGGCAGACTGTTTTTCTTTCCCTTCATATAAAAGGGAGTACATTTTCGTATCCGGGGCCATTAAACAATCATCCTAACTCGTCTTTAAATTTGGCAAGAACATTTGCATTAGGTTGTGAATAAAGGGGGTTACTGGGGTCATATGTACTGGTATAAAAAAAATTTGGCATGCTCCTTCATATGTGAATAAAGGTCTGGAGATTTCATAAAAACGATATATGTGCTTGTAAAAAGTAACTGAGATCCAGTGCCATTTATCATTGATGAAGTTATTGTGGAAATCATACATAACTATTTTTGAATAGAGAACAGAATAGAGAACCCTGCACATACAGACTGTTTAAAAGACAGAATGTCTCTCTTAATGCGAACAGAAGTCAAATCATCATTGAATGATTTGAATGCTTAACGGTTGGCTTGGTACAAAGCTTTCTTAATTGTTTAGCAGAATTCGCCAGTTCCACATTCACATGTTTTACATACATTCAACATTCAACGACCCAAAACAGAGCTGTTTGCTAATTTGAACAAGGCCCTTTCTGCTTCATTTTAGCTTGTTTACTGTTTTCACTATTTAATTTAATGTACGGCTTCAGACATGGAGATTGCTTGGACTTTTTAGGTTGGTAACTGGCATGTAGGTTTTAAGGGTATTCAACACCCACCTCTAATACGTAACTACTAATTGAATCATGTGGAATACTCACCATATCTGACTGATCAAGGACAAGTAGATCTCTCTCATGGACATGCTATTTCAATATAAATTTGTAACATCCAGATACAAAGGATAAGATGTAGGATTGTAGGATGAATGGGGTTGTATTCCAGGATTTGGGGACTATTGGCTTCTTGAAATCATAAATACCCCAACCCTTAGCCCTCGTTCTATCAAGAGATGCATATCTAAGTCAATCGGTTCCAACTCAACATTCTACATTTTCATCATGGCATCCCATCAGAAACCAGGAATAGTATAATGATGTACAGCATCTACCTGACAATACTCCAAGGCAGTTGGAGTTCTCTGAAGCTCTTATAAACATCAGCCAAAAACAAGACAACTGTTTTCATGTATAAGTCATGATGATCTCCTATTGTTTTCACCCCAACTGAATCTACATTTGTTGTGCATGATCATCATCATTGTCTGTAACAGACCTCTTTTGTGAAGAACAATTCAGTTGTCTTTCATCAGCATATACAGCTGTTTAAACTTTATAGTATTCTGTACTTTCAAATTATCCACTGTAGTATCCAGCAAAGCACTTAGACACTGTTGTGAATCAATGTACCTCAAGTTTAATGTAGAAATATATTTCTCCAAGTTATTGGACAAGCATCTAAGCTTTTTTTCTGACTTATTTTATTGTCTCACTTTTTTGCTTTGTCAGTGCGTTCATTGCCTTTTCATATTTTCAATTGATACTGCAAGTTACAGTACCGATGGGCAACACCTGTGTACACAATAGTTGAATGATTGTGGTCACGTACTCAGTCTGCACCTAATTTTCTCGGACAAATATGGAAAATATGCAGTGGTTCAAATAGTTGAAACTTTTTATCAATATTTTTATTTTTACCGAGGTGCATTACACGTTTGGTGTCGACACCAGTTGCATGTATCCCATCTGGCTCGTTATCAGTTGCTATAGACTTGGCTTGGTGTAAACAAGGCCGTTTCTTCTCCTAAAAAACTTCAGAAGAATGTCTCTTCATTCGTGATTGACACTTGTGTTGATATAAATCACCCAATCTTGAAAATGAGTGACCACATTCTTAAAACTCATGTCGTTTTAATGCCCACTGTCTGGATATGATTAAGTATACTCCTGTTCTGTGTACATGATCAGTTGCACGCATTACATTTGCAACTCACTGATGGAGGTGTATTGTTAAAGGCTACCCTTACTTTAGATTCACATCAGTATCATGTGAACAATTCTTTGCAACATTTTTCCTGTCAAAATGGGACGTCTGGCTGGTGACATTCCCTGCACATCTGAAGCGACGACGTACGGTTTGCGAGGATATTCGTCGAAGGCCAGGGATGCTTCTTGCAGTCACTGTTGCTGGCTGGAATCGATTTCGTAGGTGTGTTGTTCGAATCCAGTTGTCTTGTCGATTATTGGTTACGCGTGGATGGAATGCATGCTTTTGATTCCATACATGTACTACAGTATTGAAAACCAAACTTGAAAAATACACTAAAATATTGGTGTCACAGGAACTGTTGTTGTTGAGTATATAATTGCTTTTATTAATCACCAGAGTGTCTTGTGTGCTATTTACAGAGACCAGTATTCCCCAGACACATTATTGGTGTGTATGCGAGGGACACCCTACAAAGTATTTGTCAACAGACTATACTTACCCATCGTATAGGAAGGGGCTGTTTTGTGAACACAGATGCATAAAATTCACGTGGACAACACTGGATAGCATTTTACTATAAGAATCATGTTTGTGAATTTGTCGATACTTTTGGTGGTGAAGACGGATGCATCAATTCACGTGTCTATTTTATTGTCTACATTATTGTCTACATTATCATGCATTTCATATTATAACCAGATCACACTAATGCTGTCAGAGATGAGGCGGTCAAACGCGCATGTCTTCTAGTTCGTGCTACGGCTTAAATAAGTATGCATAGTTGCCATAGCCAGCACCAACATAAATATCCGAGACTTCTCAGTGAGACCATGTGTTACTGAAGTCACTCCTCCTCCTCCTCCTCCTCCTCCTCCTCCTTACGCCCCTACCCCTCCTCAACAGATATATACTACTGCTATGTCATTTAAGTATTCGATTCCTTCTTATGCTATCTTGGTATCAGATACCACAGAGAGGTTATCAAAACAGTACCTAACATCAGCATATGGTGTTACACTGAGTGGCAACCTGCTAGTAAAATTATACCTTTTGTGACATTTGTGAAAGGCATTCCTCCCAATCTCCAGGATGAACATTTTTTCGATGCCCAGAACAACATGATTGATCTAGATGACCTGAAGTCCGAAGCTAAAGATGACCAACACATCTTTCAACTGTTTTCACGTACCTCCAACCACAAACATGTAATCATGTCTATGCTATTGCACACCCTATTTCCGAGAGGTAAAGAGCCACGTGACATAGCTCTGAACTCTCGACACTATTCAATTCTCCAGTCGATAGACAACATAACTAGACGCATTTCCCTAAAAAAACACAGATCACCTCATATCAGTGTATAGCGAAGCAGTGCAACACCCTCAGTGAAATCTAACTGTAGACCTTAGACCTTACACTAATGAAAAAACCCGACTACAGCCTAATATTTTAGCAATGACAAAAAGCAGACAAACACATAAACTCAACCTGATTTGACCCGTGACATCAGCTCTGAAACAGCGCTGTTTCAACCAAATAGTATTCAGGGGCATGTCAACTCTCAGCCACATCACACAACAACATCAGTATATGAGGCAAAAGTTCATACAAGCCAGAATTTCAACAGTGATAACCTTGACCACATAAACAGCAACGCTTCTGATGTTAAGCTCCCAGTTCATGGCTCCTGCTTGTGCCGACAAGACCTACAACATCACATCAAGACGTGGTGTCCCAAGAACAAATGGAAGTCGTTAAGAAAATGTGCGAGGTATGACAAGGACAGCGACGAATGACAATGTCATCTGTGTCTGAGCAGAAAGGAATTGGAGTTTAAATTGAACAAAACATGATTGGTAATGAATGGCAATAAGTCGGCCTGCAATGCCTGTGGACTCGTGTCAATGATATATAGATATGGAGAGGAAATGAAACTTAAACGGAAACAGTATCAGAGCAAGGAAAGTCAGACGAGTTATAAGAAACTGAAAAGATCATGGGAATAATAATAAAGAAAGCGATACAACCCTTTCAATATCCAATAGAACTCTCTCTAGAAAGTCAATTGTACGATTCGACTGTATCATGAACATGTCTTTATGAATCACTATCAAATTGTAATGATACCAGGTGTTTGCGAAAAGGTGCGCGTATCCAGCCCCACCGGTGGCATCCATCACAATCACATGCAAAGGTTGGTCAATTGTTCATCAGAAAACAGGAACACGGGAACATATGGTACAAGTCAAAATATGGAATTGCATCGGACATCATTTTTGTCACTGGTGCGTCAAATTTGGAAATGTCGGCCATAAAACCTTTTGAAGTACTGAGGCCTTGAATCGAAC